CCCCGTTCCCCCAAGCCCCCACCCCCCCCCCCCCCAACCATGGGATATAGCTCACGGCTTCCCACCTAGCAACTCTTGCTTCTGGAAACTGCTGGATACTTGTCCCCCTTTTGCTCTTTCCTCCTTTCCAGGTCCTGGCTCTCATGTTCCTAAACTAGAGCATCTGACCCGCTCTCCCCTCCCTTGAGGTGTGCACCCTTCCAGCGCTGGCCCCGGCTTGTAAGTGACCCTGCCAATTAATCAGTGCCTGCAGAGAGATGAAATGGGCAGCTGCCAGCAGCCTTTCCCCACGGGGCAGTGGGGCCCGAAGCACAGACTCTCGGTGGGTCCCTGCGTTGTGCCTGCAGGCTAGTCACGCAGGGGCTGGCCAAGGGGAGCTCAGGACCTGGCACCGGCGTTTCCAAAAGATCAGGGTTTCCAAGGATGCAGCTGTTTGTTTTTCCCTTGTAACTGAAGACATCCCACAGCCCGAAGCAGATTTCCTGAGGGAAACGCTTCTCCAGTAAATCAGCCATTTCCAGGATGAGCGGAACAGGAATCTGAAACAGATGCAGGCGGACCCTGCCCCAAACCACAAGCCGCTTGCAGCAGTCACCCTGGCGGGGCTGTGGCCATGCATCTCGGGCATGGTGCCGGGAAAGGCAGGCTTTCTTCTCTCCGCAGGGGTGAATGGGGTGAGTCAGAACCGCACCTGCCTCCGTCAGTGCCCGGCTGTCCCCCTGCCCTGCCCAGCAGGTTTGCACTGGTAAAGAAACAGCCCCAGTTCCCACGGGCTTCCTTCAGCACTGCTCTTCTGGATCCCCCTTCTGTCGGGGAGCGCCAGGCTCCCCTGCTTGGAAGGTGATGTTCCCAGTCACACTGCCCAGACCTCTGAGACCACGCTGAGACGGACGTTACCCTGAGCAGGACCCCACGTTTGGACGAGGGCTGCGTGTGGCTGTCCCGGTACACCTGACCCAGAGCCCCTCTGACTCGGATACTAGCACCTGTGACCACAACTCCCCAAAAGGGTGCAGGGGCAGGACCCCACAGTGTGTTTCGCTTCTGTCTGGAGGGGGGGAGAGGCACTGAACGTGGGCTGTCGTGTCGGGGGAGAGCAGTGTGGGGGCACTACCAATGCTGGGGCGTGAGGCTGAATTGGCTTCTGTTTGTTTCCTGAATTTTGCTTCCTCAGACCTGAGAATGAAAGTTTTGCATCAAAACCTCGTCTAACTTCATCCCAGCTACAGAGTTGGTTCAATAAGAGAGATGACCCTAAGAAACCCTTGCCTTCCGTTTGCAGAGCGCTTTCAAGAGCGCCGTGGAAATGCAGAGTCTTCTCCCCAAGGGTGCCGTCTGGAGCCGCGGCTGGGAGCTGCGGGTCCTGGTTAGCGTGGCCTGGGAGCTCCGGCAGACCTCGTGCCTGGTGCTCCTGGGGCTGCTCTTGTTGCCTCCGCTCTGTTAGGCTTTGCCAGCTGCTGTGTAAATGCGGAGGGTTAAACACTCCCCCTGCCCACGGCACTTGCTAGGAGCACAGCAGTGTCTAAGGGCATGTCTGTCCATATGTCCAGCGGGCCCTGGCTGGACTTGACCCACAGCCTCCTCTCTGAAAAGAGCCACACAGGAGCTCTTCCCTTTCCCACAATCGCAAGGCACCCTGGAAGGCCCTTGCCTCTGCTTTGCTGCCAGCCTCACCCCCTGTAACGGGTTGTCCGGGCCTGTGCCACCTTCCCTGCAGTGCTGGTTGTGGGCGTCTGTTAGGTGAGGGGCAGCAGGACATTGTTAACGAGCTGAAGTCACCCCGAGGCCTCCCTGCATCTTCTGATCTCAGCTAGCCCCTGAGCTGAGCCTCCAGGGAGAGGCAGCGGGGTCTGGAAACTCAGCACCTCCAGCCAAACTCCCCCCTTTCCACCTAGAACTGGGACTGGAAAGTGGTGGCACAATGTGTCTCCCTCCAGGCTGGAAGGTTTTGCACCGACTCCCTATGTAACAGCCCTCGCAGTGCACGGCACTCTTCTAGGCAGCCGCACAAGGTAGGAAATGAAGGGAGAAAGCAGCTGACAGCTCTGCTACACGTGTGAGCGACTCTCACCCACCCCGGGCTGCTGGTGGCACTGAACACATGCAGCAGGGGAAGCAGTGGTCTAGGAATGCACATGACCGGCATATCATTTTCCTCCCAGACAGATCCAGCTCACAACAAACCCCTGTGTTGTCACTGGATCCAGCCTGGGAAGGATAAATGTCAAGCCCTGCTTGCCGTGCAGCCCCGGAGTCACAGGTCTGCCAAGGGCAGCAGCCCGGTCACTTCCCTGAATGGCTCATTCTGTTCCTGGGGCTTGTAAAGCAGCTTGCTGGGGGAGGACTCATCCCGTGCATCATCTGAGCCCCGCTGGGGCCATGAATGAAATCAGTGTTCTGTCCCTCCCTCACTATTCAGCTGGCCACTGCTCCCACCATGGCTGCAGCTCGTGGGACAAAGGTGCCACTGGCTCCGTCGCACAAAGGCCGTGAGCGATTCTGCCGGTTCCCTGCTCCACGAGATGTTACCGAACATCCTCTGCTCCAAGGACCGGGGAGTGGGGGGTTGCCTGGAGTCAGGAAAGCTGGGCTCGGCGCCAGGACCCGAGGGGGCTGTAGTGCAGAGGCTAATGATTGTACTAGAGGACAGGAGTCTCTTCTTGCCCTGGCTTTCACTGGGCTTGATGCATGGGGCAGGTCCCTCCCTGCGGCCCCGTACCCCTGGGGATGACGATGCGGATGTGGAGTGTGTCTGGATGAATGTTGGCAAGATGCGCCGAGACCCCGGGACAAGGGCTTGAGATGCACTTGAGACCTGGCTTTCTGCCTCTAACAACCGGACCGTCTGCTCTGCTCTGACCTCGCTCTGGACCACCCCAGCAAGCCTCCCTGCTGAGAAGCAGCGCCTCTGAGCACAGCCATAGAGAGTGCACACCACACACCAAATGTAACTCCCCTACCCAATTAAACACCTGCCCCCATGCTTGCCCCAGACCCACTCCCTGATGCCTCCATCCCCTCCTTCTCCCCTGCAGGCTGCGGAGTCAGCCCCTGCGCCCCAGGGCCAGCCCTCCAGAGCAGACCCGAATGCCTGGGTGGCAGAGGGGGGTTAGCTTTGGGCAGCGGAGGGTGAGCAGCAGGTACTTCGGTGGCTCCCAGGCCTGGCACTGAAGTCCCAGCACTAGGCGGCCAAGGCCGGCAGCGCCCCGAGGCTCCTGAGCACTCTGCTGTGTCCAGAAGGAGCCAGGCGATGTGATGGGCACTCCCACGGGAGTCCTCACCAGCCCATGCCCTGCCGCGGCGAGCAGCTCGAACATGGTGCTGCCCTACCGGCCAAGGCAGCCCGGAGGAGGCTTCTCGGCTGCAGAAGCTGTCCGGGCTCCAGCTGGACCGGAGTACCGGTGAAGCCAGCCCAGGGAGTCATGCGGAGGATGTTAATACAGCAACCTTCCTGCATCGTCCCCCAGCGGAGGAAAGGCCTCGCATTGTGCTGGGTGCCTGGTCAATGACTCAGAAGGAAAGCCAGCCCCCGGCCCTGGATCAGCAGAACCGCCTCTGGCAGCAGCGGGGACCCTCACCTGCGGGCTCTGGGCTGCCGAGGCCTCGAGGAGGTCCACGGAGGGGGCTTGTGACACGGGGGCTACATCCACCAGTGCCAGCAACTGTAGCCGCAGCCCAGGCCTGCTCCAGCGGAGACTCCCATCTAGGCAGCTTGCTCTTCCTTCAGACCTTAAGGAGG